TATGTTCATCTGCCAGACATTTTTTGGATTCAAATCGACATATATACCATATGTGATGTCAACTAGCACCTCTGCAACAAGGTCACAGGACAAATCTCTTTGAAGCGACTAATAGGCGTAGCCAAGCATAAAATCCCAACAAATTGAACCAGCTTGCAGGCGAACCTCAAAATAATGTACAGGCTACTCTGTCGCATGTCGAAGTATCTTCCTTTTCTCTTCTGACCTGTGATGGAACAACTTAGCTACAGTTCGCCTCTCACAGTCCTGCAAACTCGAGAAACCAAGGGTGTTAATTTATGTATCTATATATACTTACAAAGGTAGACTTTTGTTTCAGTCCAGCGTTAAATATCCATTGGCTTGAATTAAGAAGCAATTTACAGGATTCTCACCTTGAACATATTGAGGTAAAAAGGTTTTCCAGGATTCATCCTTCTCAACTTGTGGTATGTATATGCAAAACTTAGTTGATCACGAGGAGTAAAGCGGGCAACCTCATTAAACCAAAGACAAGAGAACAAGTTTGACATAGGTGTGTGGGCCCTTACAATGAAGGACCCTTCAGGTACATCTGCCCACAACCCAGAATAAATATTATGCAATTAAGGATGCAATTTTTAGCACAAGCAGCAAGATATTAAAATAAAATTGAATTTGCAAACAAAAACATACTGCTGGGAAGAAGCTTGTTTGGATCCGATGCATTGAATCTTTTCAGTCCATCGGCTTGGTAGAATGCAAATTGTTCATCTATGATAGTATGATTATACTTGTTAAGCTTCTTATTTTGAGCCACTTCTTCCCACACACAGTGGCGATCGTAGTGATTAGAAATTGCATACTCATAACCTTTTCGCCACAGGAAGTATTCCAAGATGAGCATTGGGTCAAGCTGTAGGCGTAATTTGCTATCCAACCAAATTGAATACCTGAGAAAATTCCAGATGTCAGGTGTTTTAGAAAAAAGTACAACCAGAATAGAGCTTGAATATGAGAAAGGTATCACCTACCAAAATAGAACAATTTGAAAAAGCAATTCATACAATAACTCAGCGTCTAAATTGATCATCACAAAGCAATGTGCTACTGACTTCAACACCTTCTTATAAACACGAGGTGAATAGAATTCAATCATTTAATCTCCAAACTCATCATCCTCTACATTCGATTATCTAGATATGGATTGATATGTTTAATTGATAATCCAAATTCGAATATGCTATTATATTTCAAGAATATAGATTTAGAAATATCAAAATTTGACCTAATTGTGAATCGTAAACAATTCACAAAAACACATACACACATGTATATATAAGATTTAGTTTTCGATCAAATTTTTAATATTTAATGGATCTGGACATGAATTGTAATCTGATGGATAATCAGATCATATTCAAATTAGAGTTTTCAAATCAAACTTGAATTTGAATCACTTAAAATTTGATGGCTGACATGTCTATTTATAGTTTATTTACAAAATAATATTTTCTATGAAAATTGTACTAATACTAGTACTTTCTAAAATAACTTTCATATAACTTTTCTTAATTAGGTTCTATCTTTTTGCGTGTAATTTACACTATGCGTAAAAAACTTTTAACGCAGCAAAGTAAAAAATTAAAATGAAGAATTACTTTATCAATAGTGTAAATTGCAAAATACTAATATTTGCAAGACAATAAATTTTGATGATTGCTCTGTAGTTGTTCCCCTCAACTTAATGATTGCCCACACTGGAAACGGACTCAGGCTCCGCCCCCGATATAGTATTGTAGTGTATGACACGGATTTCATCTTCATGCTTCCCCATATCACTCCCCAAAACGTTTTCTCTTCTTTTTCATAATAGTGAAGGAAGAATGTAAAAATCCTCTGTCTTATCTTCAACAACCCTTTCTCCCACCCTTTTCAATTTTTCCCTTTGACCAAACAAACTATGTGACCAAAATTCCATTGACTTATACAACACAAGGATGTGATATAGTCAACAATCTAAATATTGATCAACTATTGAAGGGATACATGAGAGCTTCAGAATTAAGAGAGTCAACATTTAACATGATCCAATAAGAATTAGAAAAAACAAAAAAGTAGACCGAGATTACCAAAAGCACTTATAAAACAAATTTGCTCCCCAACCCATGTCTCAAATGTGAAAATAGCCACTTGTTTTTAACAAGTTGGAACTTTTCACAATTATTCAATAAAATTCACCTTTTTTTATCTTTCAACTTAGGGGTGTTTATGTAGAAAAGAATATAGAGCTTTACAATTAAAAGAATCAAAAATTATATGCGTTGTAGATAGCAACTTTTACTATCTAATTGCACTTGTGCCTTGGACTGTGCAGTTAAAGGTAAAAGATCAATAATTGTCAAATTAAGGTAACCCTGCAAATCTAGGTGATGAAGTAGACAAACAACATAAAAGAAGCTATTATAGCTACAATGGAGTTGATGTTACCACACCACAATGCTCAAGGGAGTTCTACAAATCAACAAAATTTTGATCCTCTTAAGGAACTCTAAAACTAATAGCACTAAAAAAAAAGGAATACTCTTATTATAAGTTTCATTGTTAGTAGCCAACATAAAACTAATTACACTCAAAAGTGAAAAAGGGAATATTCTCATTATAAGTTTCATTTCAGTAGCGAACATACTTCATGATTCTTTCTCCTATATTGGCATCATGGGAAAACATAGGATACGTTCCTCATAAATTTCTTGTGGGGTGGTATCTGGGATGAGTCTAAGTATCATCTTGTTGTTTGGAGGGTGGCATGCACTTCCTTTTTAATAAGAGCGTAGGGATAAGGGGTTTGTGGTCCTTCACTGAAGCCCTCCTAGTTGTAGAGTTCGTATGGAGAGCCATCGATTATCAAAAAGAACAATTAGAAATAAGTTAGTAGGATAGATGAGAAAAACAAAATGGTGGGAGTTCTCCATACACATGGGGTTTGCGGCTGGAGCATGTCATAGGGTGTGGTAGATTTCCATACAATTGCAATGGTCGTAAATTATATGTCAAAGTGAGGTAAGTGAAATGCATGGGAACCCACTTTCTTGAGCAACTCCTTTGATCGGGAGTTGAAGAATGTGGATGCTTTTGTGGATACACTCTATCATACTTTATTTTGGCCGAGGCAAAGGATTCTCGAAGATGGGTGCCCTTGGTAATGGTTAGTTTGACGTCAGATCATTCCATAGGTCACTAGGGGTGCAACTTGGGTGGGCCAACCCAAATTCAACACAAGCCCAATTCAAAAAAAAAAGGACTTTGGTTAAAAATTTTAATACTTGGGTTAGGTCTGGGCAAAAAACCCTCAACCTGAATTGAATTCAAGCAAGCCTCGGATTGTCGGGTTCAACCTGAATATTAAAATCGAATTGAACCCGAATATACATAAATATATTTAACTAGGATTAATATTTATCTTTACTTTTCAGAGTTTAGACTTTCACTTCACTTCAAGTCTTCACCCCGCGCCTCCATCACTCTCAAATCCCTCTCTCACTCGTCACTCGTTTGTTATCTGGTCTCAGCCTTTCAGCCTCCCTCTCTAACTCGTTATTCGTTTGAGTTGTCTCAAACTTATCCTCCCTCTCTCACTTGTCACTCCTCCCTCTTTTATCAACCCGAATAAAATAACCCAAGTCAACCCGATTTTTAACCCAAAAATAGTCTGAATTAAGTAACCTTAATTCAACCCGAGCCCGCCTGAATTAAGCTCGAGCAGTACTCAGGTTGACATGGGGTTAGATTTAGGGTTGAAGATTAGATTGGGCTAGGGTTAACCTCTCAACCGGCCCGAGTTACACCCCTATAGGTCACTGACTGGGTAGATATCGTGCTCCTTCCTCCTTTCATAGCAAGAGCAATTAGAGGTGTGAAGTTCCCTTGAACCCCCTCCTTCCTAAGTTATGGACGTTAATTTCTTCATGTTTGTATGTATTGGTTGATGCTCAAATCTGCTTTGGACTTGTTGCATTGATGCAGGGGTTGTGGCAAGATGCGTGGCATGGTCGCTTGAGTGGTAGTACCTCTTTGTTTTTGGTGTTGCGTCTAGTTAGTTGAAAATCACAGTCACTTTAAGAAGATGGGGGCATCATTCAAGATTTGATGGCAAGCTTCTAGGGACGTCTGTTTTATTGGCTCTTAGAGAAGGCTCTCTTTCTTTGAAGGATGCTACAGGGTATTGATTCGGGAGCTAATGCCCACATGTCTGGTATTTCCTCATTGTTTTCTAACTTTCGTTCTTCTAGCTCTCGTATTGTTTTAGCTGATGGTTCCTTTAGACCAATTCGTGGAACTAGTGATCTCCATCCTACCAAATCCATGTCATCAACATCTAGTTTATTTGTTCCTCATTTTTCTTTTAATCTAGTATCTGTGAGTCAGTTAACCATACTAATAGTGCTCAGTGACTTTTTCTCCATCTTCTTATATTTTTTAGGACCTCCAAACGAAAAAGGTGATTGGTTCAGAGCTTGAGTAGAATGGACTTTACTATTTGGATTCCAAAGCTGCAGCTCCTGCCTTAAGTGATATTGTGTCTCCCATCTAGTGGCATTTTAGATTGAGTCATCCTTCACTATAAAAATTTCGTCAAATTATTCTTAATTTGAGTCCTTCTATTATGGTAGAATGTAAGTCTTGCCTTATTGGCAAACATCATCGTAGTTCTTTTCCTGCTAGTAGTACAAGTCATCGGTCTAGTCCTTTTGTTATTGTTCATTCTGACATTTGAGGTCCTTCAAAAATAAAACATATTTCTGGATTTCATTATTTTATAATCTTTGTTGATTATTATTTTCGTATGACTTGGTTGTTTCTTAGGACAGATAGTTCTGAAATGCCTAAAATTTTTCTTACCTTCTATAATAAAATCCTTGTGCAGTTTGATAAATAAAATAAAATATTTCATTCTAATAATGTCATCGAGTATGTACAATCCTTTATTCATACATTTTGTGATGATCATAGTACCATTCATCAAACTATTGGCCCATATATCATCATTTATTAGATATTGTTCATAGGTTCCTCATGTTTAAGATGCATATTCTCAAACCTTATTGAGCAGATGTTATTCTTACTGCAATCTATCTTATTAATCAGATGCCTTTCCCCCTCTTAAGTAACAAATTTCCATTCTCTTGGATCTATCTTGGTATATCGCTCTATGATGTAACTCCTCATATATTTGGTTGTGTTGAATTTATTCACATGCTTGGTCCGAGTCGGAATAAACTTTCATCTCTTTCAGCTAAATGTGTTTTTTTGGGCTACTCTTGTACTCAGAAAGGTTATCATTTTTATGACTTAGTCTCACGCTAATATTTGGTCAATAATGATGTCACTTTTTTTGAGTCGTCGTCCTTTTTTCTAATCCAAGAACTACACTTTGTCAAGATTACTAGACAAGGGGAGCTGATATTACCTCTTGTACCTGATGGTGTATCTTATTTTCCTCAGACTTTTAACTCTCCATTGCAGGTTTATCCTCGTTCCATGAATAGAGAGATTGTTTCATCCTCCAGCTTCCCAGCCAAAACCTGATTCTACTGAAGTCCTTCCCTCTGAGTCATTTGATTTGCATATTACATTGTAGAAAGGTACTCGTACTTATGCACAGCATCACATTTATAATTTTGTCTCTTTGCATCAGCTTTCCTCTTCATTTCATTGTCCTCTATCTTTGTTCCTAACTCTTTGAAACATGTTTTAACATCTCTTAGATTGAAACTGGCTATGGATGAGGAACTTAAGGCACCTCATGACAATCATACTTTGGATGTCACTTTTCTTCCATTTGGTAAGCAGTCTGTTGGTTANACATCTCTTAGATTGAAACTGGCTATGGATGAGGAAATTAAGGCACCTCATGACAATCATACTTTGGATGTCACTTTTCTTCCATATGGTAAGCAGTCTGTTGGTTATCGTAGGGTGTACACTATAAAATATCATCCTAATGGTTCTGTTGAGTGGTTGAAGGCAAGGTTGGTTGCTAAAGGTTACACCTAAACATATGGTATGAATTACTGTGTGCCTTTCTCTCCAGTTGCTCGTCTTAGTTCTAGTACAATTCTTATTTCTGTTGTATTCAGTTCTAGCCTATATATCAAT